CAGGGGGAGCGGCAGGCAAAGGGAGAGGGAACAGGGAGCCCGGCGCGGGGCTCCATCCCAGGACCCCGAGATCATGACCTGAGCCAAAGGCAGACGCTTTACTGACTGAGCCACCCACGCGCCCCCAAAAACAAGGCTTAAAAGATATTCCTCCCCCAGCAATTCCACCCAAGAGAATTAAAAATGGATGTCCACAGGAAAATGTACACAAATGTTCACGGCAGCTCTGTTCACAACAGCCAAAGGTGGAAACAACCCACGTATTCATCGACAGATGAGTGGATAAACAAGAGATGGTCCTGCCATATGCAATCAAATAACTATTCCACCATAATAAAGAATAAGGTGCTGATACATGTTCCAACATGGATGAACCCTGAAAACATGATGCTGAGTGAAAGAGGCCAGACTCAAAAGGCCACATAGCGTATGATCCCATGTCTATGAAGTGCCCAGAACAGGCAAATCCATAGAGACGGAAAGCAGATTAGTGGTTGCCAGGGGCTGGGGGGAGGGGAAATGGGGACTGACGGCTTAATGGGTATGGGTTTCCTTTCCGGAGTGACGAGAATGTTCTGGAATTAGATCGTGATAATAGTTTCACAACATGGTGAACTCAGTAAAAGCCACTGAATTCTACGCTTTAAAAAAATGGTGTCAGTGGTGAATTTTATGTTCTGTGAATTTTACCTCAATTAAAAAAAAAAATTTTAAAGCCACTCCTCTCAGGCACATGAAGGGCAGAATTGTGGGTTGTACAGTTTGCTCATCTCAACTTTTTTTTACCACACGTGGGAAATCGCTCTCCAAAGTTGTTGTCCCCATCTGCACTCTTGAGACAGTGAGTGAGAACTTCTATCTCCCCACACCCACACCAACACTTGGCACCGAAGAGAAAAATAATCGAGGGGTGCCTGGGTGGCTCAGTCGGTGAAGCGTCTGCCTTCGAGTCAGGTCATGATCTTGGGGTCTTGGGATCGAGCCCCATGTTGTGTCTGGCTCCCTGCTCATGGGAAGTCTGCTTCTCCCTCTCCCTATGCCCCTCCATTCACCCCCCATTTCCCCCCCTCCCCCGCTCATGATTTCTCTCTGTCCCTCAAATAAATAAATAAAATCTTTATTTTTTTAGGTTTTTAAAAATTATTATTATTTTAAAGCAAGCCCTACGTCATGGGGCTTGAACTCAGGACCCTGAGATCAAGATGTACCTGCTCTGTGGACTGAGCCAGCCAGGACGCCCTATAAATAAAATCTTAAAAAAAAAAAAGGAGGACAGGTGGATTTCTGAGCCCATGAGCTATGGAAGCTTCCTGAGGTAGGGGAGGTCTCAGTCAGACTTGGGGAAAAAAGCAGATTTGGGAGCTTGAGGGGAAGATGGGGTCCGAGCCCTGGCATAGCCATTGGGCAACGGACAGAACATACTGTCAAGGGACCGTCATTCCTACTATCCAGGTGGGGCTGCTTGCCCTCAAAGAGCCCACCTTCAGCGTCCTCTCCAGCTCTGCAGCTGATGAACAGCATCTTAAGGTGCTGGGTTTCTGTCTCTGGAGCTGTCAGCTGTGACTGTGACCCCAAATCAGATTAACAGCCTCCTCCCAACATGTACACTCTGGATCAGAGTCTGCTGAGACCAGCCATTTGGAAAAACCCATCTGCTGCCTAATGCACTCATTCAGCTTCAGGGACCAGCTTGGAAGAGAGAGGAGGCAGCACGAGGGGAAGGATGACCTACAGCAGGGGCTTGACAGGTGAGAAATGCTCAGGTTAAAAAAAATTAAAAAAAAAAAGCCCCCCCCTCCAGATGTCAAAGATGCAGCTGTGGAGATTGGCTTCCCCAGAACCCTGCCTCCAGCTGGGACAACTACCCAAGACAAGCTACAGAATTTGCAGGGCCCGGTGCAAAATGAAAATGCAGGGCCCCTTGTTCAAAAATTTCAACGTAGGTTGCAAGTGTGTGTGAAGACAGCCCTGCCTCTGTCCTCCTCCCGTCCTTGGGTCCTTACACCAGGATTAAGGATTAAGCCTGCTCTGGGTCCCCACAGCCCCTGTGCCCATCTCCACTCAGTCTCATCCTTACTTATTTCCTTGTCTGTCTCCCCAGCGGATGGTGCTTCCCCGAAGGCTTGGTTGCCATGGTTTTCCCTGATTGCCTCACACAAGATCTGAGACGGAAGAGGACAGCCCTATTTGCTCAATTAATCACAAAGGAGAAAAAGTTTACTTTAAAAATCATGGCTCTCCACTTCAGGCCCACCAGGATGACTGTAATTTAAAATTATAAATAAATAAAAACAGAAAATAACAAGCATTTGGTGAGGATGTGCAGAAATCGAAACCCTAATACTTTAGAATGTAAAATGGGGCAGCCACCATGGAGACAGTTTGGTGGCTCCTCAAAATGCGAGACAGGGAGTGCCCGTATGACTCCGCATTCTGGTCCTAGGTGTCTACCCAAGAGACAGGAAAACTTAGATCCGCACAAAGACATGAATGTTCTCGGCAGCACTATTCATAACAGCCGAAAGGGGGAAACAACCCAAGTGTCCATCAAGGGATGAAGGGATAAACAAAATGTGGTCCATCCACACGATGGAGAACGATTCAGTCTTGAAGAAGAAGGAAGCGCGGACACCTGCTACAACCCGGATGAGCCTTGCAAACATGATGCCGAGTGAGAGGAGCCAGACACAAAAGGCCCCATAGTGCATGGTTCCAATGATAGGAGATGTCCGGAGGAGGCGAATCTACGGAGACAGATAGCGGACTGGTGGGTGCCGGGGGCTGGGGAGGGGGCAATGGGGAGGGGCTGTTAATGGGATGGATTTTTTGGAGGGAAAGGATGAAAATGTTCTGGAACTAGAAGATGCTGATTGTTGTCCCACACTGGGGATGTACTAAATGTCATTAATGGTAAATTTTATGTTATGTGCATTTTATTACAGTAAAACCCCCCAAAAATCTTTAAATGCAATATGGTGCCCTGAATTGGATCCTTGAACAACAACAACAACAAAACCGCATTATTGGAGAATAGGTGAAATAGAAAAAAAGCTTGGAGTTTCATGGACAGTGAGAGACCAGTGTGGTTTTCTTGGTTATGATAAGTGCACCACAATCCCATGAGATAGGAACAGGAGGGAACCTGGCTGAGGGACTCTTTCTGTTCACTGCAACTTTTCTGTTATACTAAAATTATCCTGGGGCACCTGGGTGGCTCAGTCGGTTAAGCATCTGCCTTCGGCTCAGGGTCATGATCCCAGGGTCCTGGGATCGAGCCCTGCATCGGGCTCCCTGCTCTGCGGGGAGTCTGCTTCTCCCTCTGCTGCTCCCCCTGCTTGTGTTCCCTCTGACAACTGAATAAATAATCTTCGAAAAAATAAAAATAAAAAATCATATCTGCCTTCTAAAAAGCAGCTAGCTTGGTCTCTGGAAGGTTCTTTTGTCTGCGTAGGGTCTGCTTTTGGGTTCAGGTTTGCCAACTGGGGAGCTGTAGCTGCCACTGGTGTGGAAAAGTGGGGAGAATCTGAGAGCCCAGCCTGGGGTTGTTGGGGGGAGTGGGGGATGAGGCAAAGAGACGGGCAGCGGGGAGGGGGTGAGAGAGGAGCCTGGGCTGGAATGGGGCTGGGCTGCAGCCCGTCCCCCCTCCACCCCGCAAGAGGGGAAACTCCCTGATGGGGAAGCTCCAAGGACTTTGGAGGAAAAGGACGTTCAGCATAGAGGTCGCAAACTGGTGACCCACGGGCTGCAGACTGCCTCCGGATGTGTTTATTGGCCCTGGGTTTTGTAAAACTAATTTGAGCCAATCTATAAAAAGCCGTCAATCTCACATTAAAACTGGAATTTCCAGCTTCTCTGAAAATCTCTGCAGATCTGCTAACTCAAGGCCACCCTCCTGCACGGCCTCAAGGGGCTGCAGCCCAGTCCCAGCCACCCCTGCTCACAGGTCTGAGGTCTTGATTGCCACTCATTCTCAGGCTTGCACCGTGTTCTCTTTTTAACGGAACAGAAAGATTTCTCTGCACCATCGCAAAAATGGAAAAGCAGAAAAGAAACCAAGAGCGTTGTCTGACTTTTCTTACACCTGGCCGATTGCACACACTTCTGATCCCTACCTGGTTCTTGGAGGAACTTCTGTTTGAGAACTCAAGTCCAACATTCGATCTGTAGTCTTCGCTGCAAGGCCAATAGAGTGTCCCCAGTCCGTGGCCTTGGAGCTCCACTCCCAGGTGTCCTGTGGTCGGGGTCACACACACACACACACACACACACACACACACACACACACACACACACTTCCTGGCTGTGAATCCCAGCTCTACCCCTTACTAGCTGGTGGTCTTGAACCAGCAGCTTAACCTCCCTGGGACTCCGTTTCCTCAAGCCCCTGAGGTGAAGCAGGAGACTCAGCTGGTCGCAGCGTGGGTCAGCTTATTTGGCAGGAAAATGGGTACGTGGCTGACACTGAGCTGACGTATGCCGTGTGGCTGTACCCGCAGTTACGGTACTGAAATATTTCTCCACTGGCTGGTAAATAGCCACTGTCCCTCGGCCCCCTCCCGGGACCCCAGACTTCCTCAGCCCAGCAAGTAAGAATAACCGCCACAGAGGTCTTCCTGGGTCCAGCCTCCCCCCTCCCTTCTGATGGAGCTATGAGGTAAGACTTCCTGGCTCTGCGGGGTGGAGTGGGCGTGGGGTGCCCGGTCCCTGATGGGAGAGCAGGTGGCATTTGCTGGATCTCGGCTGTCCCAGGAGGCACAGCAGTCCCCCAGATTTCAAGAAGACAGGCCTCCATGACCCTGCACAAGCCCCATGGAGACAGACAGACCTGAATAATTCGTCGGGGCTGGAGATCGTGGGGACATGAAGAGCGCAGAAGGGGGGCTCCCAGACCCTGGGGCGGGGAGGCCCTATACCACCCCAAATCTCTCAGGCTAGGTCTGATGGAAAAACCTAACCAGGTGATGGGGCCCAGGGCCCAGGAAGAGGTCAGAGGTCAGGGGTCAGAGGTAGTACACTTTATTGACCGGGTTCTTCCAACATCTTGCAATGCCCCTCCCACCCCACCCCCCTGCAAAGCCAGGGCCTGAGCTTTGCTGCCGTCCTGTCCACCAGACAGGGAAGAGAATGTGTCTCTCAAACATCCAACATCTGAAGGGCTTCTGGGCCTCCGAAGAGCAGAGCGGCAGGGGTGGATGTGGGGAGGGGGGGGCTGCCGGCTGGAGGGGGGGTGATGGGAGCAGGGGATGAAGGCGGGCCTGAGGGGCTCAAGCTGGGTGCAGGGCTGGGGACACCCTGAGGCTCTGCCAGGCCTGGCCAGCCCCTCACTCCCCCAGTTAAGGTTAGTAGTGGTTCACAGTGAGACTGGCTTAGATTTGGCAGGGCAGCAGGGACCACGGGCAGACGGGCGCTTTCCACTCTCCCTGCCGACCCTTGGCCTGACTCACGAAGCTGGGAAGAGAGAGGAAGTCCCCTCCTCTGTGTCCCCCTTCTGGGACAGGAAAGCCCCTTCTCTCGAGGGGCAAAGGGTAGAGGCCTAGTTCTCCCCTGGCATCCCCTAGGCTATTAGGAAGGATCGTTTACTTCTGGCTCAGAAGTTTCTAGAGCATCTCAGTGACCTTGCCCATCATTACTCCCAATTAAAAAAAAAAAAAGGTTTTGAAATCTGGGAGTTGACTGGGGCCCATCGAACCAAGCAGTAAAAAACCTGGTAAGACCTTGGCTTGAAAAGGTAGCTCTACCTTCTCTTAGAAGCCTTGGGAGGCCAGCTGGAGAGACCAGGGGCGTCTCCGCTGCCCGACTGGAGGCGGCGGCTCATGGCAGCGGGGAAGGGGGGCAGGGGGGGCTGGTGGTGGCCCGGAGGACGGGGCGGGACGCAGGGGCACGATGCAGGAAGCAGTGACACGCGGGACATGGCAGGCTGCCCTCCAGCGCCGTGGGCCTGGGCTCAGAGGGCAGCGGGTGGGGGGGGGACCCCCGTGGGTACATCTGCCAGGCGGGCGCCGGGGCCTCGGCCCCACCGTGAGAGGCCGGGCCCGCGGTCAGGCCTTGTGACCGCCACTGCCCGGCGGCTCCTTGTGGCCGGCCGCGTAGTCCGCGGCGGGCTCGAGCCCCAGCATCTGCCGCTGCACCAGCTTGCCGTAGAGGCCGCCCTGGGCCAGCAGCTGCTGGTGCGTGCCCTGCTGCACGACGCGGCCCTTGTCCAGCACCACGATGAGGTGCGCGCGCTCCACCGTGCTCAGGCGGTGCGCGATGATGAGCACCGTGTGCTTCTGCAGGTTGCCGTGGATGGCCTGCTGGATCTGGGGAGACACGAGGGGGTGGCTCTTGCGGGCGCTGCCCCCAGCCACCCCCAGCCGCGCCTGGGCCTGGCTCGGCTCCCACACCCACCGCATCACGGCAATGCTTTCACCTCCCTGAGCCTCAGTTCCTCATTCAGGGCTCGCACACGGCGGGCTTCCTGGGGCTTTGTTCACGGGGGACGGAGCTCAGGGCCCGGGACGGGGGAGGTGCATGGCGAGGGACAGGTGAACCCTAGCCCCCTAACCGGGTCACCTCTGCTCTTCCTGCTCCTTCCGCTCGCGAACCGCCTTGCCTCATGGTCTCACCGTCAGCCCCAAAGTCAAGCCGACGAGGCCACGGCCCTCAATTCCTCATCCTTCGCTCACTGTCCAAATCCAACTCATGCGCGAATCCTGCAGGGGCATCTCTGCCCAGTTCATCTAGTTCTTTCCATTCTCCTACCGCTACCCCTGTTACTTCTCATCCGAATGCCTGCAACCTGCCCACCCCACCCCCTCCCACTGCCGGCGTGGATTTAACATTTCCATCAGTTCTTGTTGAATTCCTGCTTTGAGCCCCCCAACAGCTTCGTGTCCCAAACAAGAATAAAATCCAGACTCCACCTGACATTCTGCACTTGTCATAGACAAGAGTGCACAACACAAAGAGTGACCCCTAATGTAAACCAGGGACTTCAGTTAGTAACAGTGCATTAAAACTGACTCATCAATTGTAACAGATGCACCACGGCAAGATGGTAATAACAGGAGAAACTGTGGGGTGAAAAGGAGATATATGGGAACTCTCTGCACTTTTTGCTCAATTTTCTTTAAACCTGAAACTTTTCTTCAAAAAAAAAAAAAATTCCATTAATTAAAAAAAAAAAATTCCAAACTCTATAACTAGGGCGTGAGGAGGCTGTGTCTACAACTCTGACCTCATCTTACCTTGTCAGACTCCCACCAGCCTGACATGCTGACCTTTGGGCTTGTCTGTGAATTTGCTCTGGGCCTTTGCACCTGTTGCCCTCTCCTCCTTGGATGCTCAGTTGGCTCCTCTCCTCTTGGGTCTCAGCTCAAATGGCACCTGAAGACCCCGCTGCCATCGGGGAGACGGGCACAATCCAGCAGGGCTCCGGCAGTGTAAGGCCGTGTCTCGGGGATGACCCAGCCCCCCTAAATGCTCAGCGCTGCCAGGAGAATTGACTGTTCTAGCCAACACTTGACGGTAGGCCCCTGACCTCCCTTTCTTAGAGCATTTAATAAAAAGGGCTTATAATTGTAAATCCTTTCTCTGTCCCTTCGATATATATATATATATGTGAATCTCCTACAAGTCAAGAGTGTCTTTCTCAAGGACCTGAAGGCCATTTTTGAAATGTAATCATCAGGGAGGGCAGGCCTGGGTCTCAAGGCTCTACGGGAGGACAGAATTCCGGCCCACGGCTGGCAGCCAGCAGACACCGCTCCTAATCACATCCACACTGACCAACCACCGGCTTTCCCGTGAGTCCACTCCCTATGCCTTCATTCTCCTTTAACGCCTGTCACCACTGTCCCCTCTGCACAAAGCAGAAGGCAGTCCCGCTCTTTCCCCTACTGTCACTCGCTACTGAATAAAATCTGTTTTTCCAGCCTCAGTGTCTGGCCGTGTTTCTCTCTGACAGGGGTGACCTGTCTCAATCTCTCTCTCAAATGACGGTTTCATTTTCTACGTGCCGTAGGCCACAGGTTGAACTCAGGCTTGTCTCCTTGTTTGTGACGTGTCTCCCCCTGGACTGGAAACGCTGCAGGGGCAGGCCTTTGTCTGGTCGGCCCACACTGCAGCCTGGCGGCCGGGACAAGCTCAGTGAATACCTGCCTGTGTAGTCAATGATTCGACCCACGGAGGGGCCAAGGTAGCTAGTCAGTGACAAATACACCATTGGACGCTCTTTACCTTGGAAAGGGGGCTCAGGGAGCAGACAACCCTGACTCCCATGATGAGCTGAGGGCAGGGCCTCGACTCCAAACCCGCATCACATGGTTTCAGCTCTGCCAAGAGCCGGCTGGCTAGACCTTCCGCCCTGGGTCCCCTCTCCCCTGGCTCCCCGCCTTCAGCCCTGAACACCGCAGTCTGGAAGCTGACGGCCCGGAAGAGCCCCCATGGTGTCTCCAAGCCCTTCCTGGCGCCTGCCCCATACTCTGGTGTCACCCCACCAGCCCGCAACTCACCAGGTACTCGCTCTCTGCATCCAGAGCGCTGGTGGCTTCGTCCAAGATGAGGACGGGTGGGTTCCGCACCAGAGCCCGAGCCATGGCCACCCGCTGCTTCTGGCCGCCCGACAGCTGGGCACCCTTCTCCCCAGTCTCTGCACGACAAAGGGGCCGGGGCAAGTGAGCGGAGGGTGAGGCTGGGGCAGCCTTAGGGTAGAGAGAGAAGACCCCCTCCTCTTCCTTTCCCTGTTGCTGCAGGAGCTATGCTCTCTAGGAAAAGGTGTGGTTCAAAGGGCCACTGGCTGGGACAACCAACAGCTCCCAAACTCACAAAAGGATGCTCTCCTTCCCTGTTCATGCAAATCAATAACTACATTCAACTGGTACTAAGATACCACTTTTTACCTATTCATATGGCAAAAATCCCAATGTCTGATAATACACCGTCCTGGCGTGGCTGTGGGGAGACAGGCGCTCCCCCACCTTCCGGGAGCAAGCACATGGGGGGGTGATCCCTCCGGCTGCAGGGCACCTACCTCTGTGTCTATCATTTTGTGCTGTGCAAGTCTATGGGTCACAAGTGCACAACGCTAGCACCAGCATCCCCACCTCTGTGACTTGTCCCCACAACTGACCTTCCGACCTACGTTGGCAAAGGCATGTGTCGTGCACGACTCACATTACTAATACTGCAACTCAAAACAAGAGATCTACTCAAGCGTCCATCAGCAGGAAACTGAATGAATGATTTAAACAAATGATCAAAAAGCCCGTTACCCTGGAATACTATGCAACTGTTTAAGAAAAGGATCAAGGGAGCTCTTTAAGTGACAATGTGGAATGGTCACTAAGATACTGCGTTAGGTTAAAAAAAAAAAAAAAGCTGGGTGCAGAATAGAGGGTGCTGTTTTTGTTCTGTAAAAGGTCAGGAGGAAATAAAAATATACATTCCTATTTGCATGAAGAAGCTCCCAAAGGACATGTAAGAAGCCAACAAAAGAAGTTTTGGTGGGCCAGGAGGAAACAGGGGTAGAGAAAGGGATGGAGTAAAACCCCTCATTGTATATCATTTCACATGTATTTTTAGTTTTGAACCATGCGAACAGCCCCTTCACAAGAGTTAAAATTTTAAAGTATGTTAAATATAACAAAATATATAACATAAATCAGTATATTGTTAAATTTATTATATTATTGAGTTATTAATATAAAATTAAGCAACTATCATTAACCTGATATATATATATATATATATATATATATATATAATTTAAGAATAATAATGTTTTGGGGTGCCTGGGTGGCTCAGTCAGTTAAGCGACCAACTCTTGATTTTGGCTCAAGTCACCATCTCAGGGTCGTGGGATCGAGCCCCTTGTTGGGCTCTGCACTGGGCTTGCTGGGTGGAACCTGCTTAAGATTCTCTCTCTCTCTGGGGCGCCTGGGTGGCTCAGTCGGTTAAGCGTCTGCCTTCGGCTCAGATCATGATCCCAGGGTCCTGGGATCGAGCCCCGCATCGGGCTCCCTGCTCAGCGGGGAGCCTGTTTCTTCCTCTCCCTCTGCCCCTCTCCCCTACGCTCGTGCCTTCTCTCTCTAAAAAAAAAATAACAGATAATAATAATGTTTTAAAACTAAATAGAGGTGGTTGGTTACCTAGTACTGTAAAGGTACTAAATGTCAAGTGAGTTTCACCTGAAATAGTAAAGAGCGACTGGCAGAGAGTTATGCTTCTCTCGGAGGGTCCCATCCCCGAGGGCGGACCTTCGGGCGGGGTGGAGGTGCCGCTCCCGGGCCATGTACCTGTGTTGTAGCCGTCCTGGAGCTCCATGATGAAGCCGTGGGCGTTCGCCTTCTGTGCGGCCTCCACCACCATCTCGAAGGGCACGGTGGGCAGGCCGTAGGAGATGTTGTCTGTGATGGAGCGGGCGAAGAGCACTGGCTCCTGGCTCACCAGGGAGATCTGTGTGGGAGACAGGATGGGGCATGAGAGGCCAGGCACGCATCCGTCCAGCTGTCACCGGGAACCTCGCCAGCCCCAGGCCCGCCTGACGCCAGGGGTCTTGGGTCTGAAATCTGAGCAGGGCCTGCGCTGGGCTGCTATAATAATGTCAGCTGCCTCTCTCCTTCAAAAACAACAGAGTCCACTTTCTGCACAAGCCCTCAGCTTCCCCTGACCAAAAATCTGGGGCCAGCTAAGCTGGCCGCTCTGGGCTAAGCCAAGTTCCCTGACCTCGAAGAGAGCTTGCTGTCTGCCCCTGTCCTGGGGCGGCAGCGGGAGCGGGGGGGCAGGGGAGAGAGAGAAAGAGAATGTAGAATGTGAGTCAGTCTGTCCACACCAGAAGACAAGAGGCCACAGCAGCCCCCAGGCCATAAGGGCCTCCCTGGTGTCCCCTCCCTCCAGAGAGAATAACTTATTTTTTTTAAAAGATTTTATTCATTTATTTGACAAAGAGACACAGCAAGAGAGGGAACACAAGCAGGGGGAGTGGGAGAGGGAGAAGCAGGCTTCCCGCGGAGCAGGGAGCTGGATGCGGGGCTCGATCCCAGGACCCTGGGACCAAGACCTGAGCCGAAGGCAGACGCTTAATGACTGAGCCACCCAGGCGCCCCCAGAGAGAATAATTTAAAGAAGCTTGTCCCATGATCCCAGTTTTAGGAATGTAGCCTACAAAAATATTATGGAGGATATCACTGCAACATTGTAAATAGAAAAAAAATCAGTTTCATAAATTGGGGCTTGACTAATAATCACAGTGTATCCACTAAATCAAATATGCACACACACACACACACACACACACACCATGATTCTGTTTTTGTTAAAAAGAACTTATATATGTAGGGGTGCCTGGGTGGCTCAGTCGTTTAAGCATCTCGCTCTTGATTTTGGCTCAGGTCATGATCTCAGGGTCATAAGATCAAGCCCCGCGTCAGCCTCTGTGCTGGGCGTGGAGCCTGCTTGGGATTCTCTCCCTCTGTCTATCTTTCTCTCTCTCTTTAAAAAAAACAAAAAAGCAAAAAACTTATATATGTACCTTCACTTATCAATATATTTATATAAAGATAGGAAACAGGTTGGAAAGGATATTTACTAAATTGCTAACACCAGTTAACCTCCATGGAGTGGAATTTAAAAGGTGAGATGGAGGGGAACTCTCACGTCGTAATTACAAAATTCTCTGAATATATGGGAATGTGGTTAGATTGTTGCATTTTACTGTTTGGGGCTTATGAAAATTAAAACTTTTAACTTGAACTAAAGAGAAGGTAGTCACAAAAGAGGAAATCCAAGTACTGAACCGTATGTTAAAGTACTTGATATGTTTGGTCATCAGGAAAATGCAGAAGACCTCTGTGAACTACCTCTACGTATGCACTCAGCAGCTGGCAAAAGATCAGCACTGAGAATATTAACTGTCTAAGAATATTACATGTCTGAGCATATTAGCTATTGCAAAGCCTGAATAGCTCTGCCTAAAGGCCATTTCCAGAACTGCTCAGCCATCTACACCTGGTTATATGCAGATGGGTAGGCCTATATCACAATGTGTGGCCTCTGCCACCATCTAGAACTTGGCTAGGAGTTCTGGAATCTCTGTGCCAACCCTCAGGCTCTCCTGTAATTTAACGTATGTTGATGATGGAAATGGTGCCTTCTTGATAGTTGGTTTTTCTTGTTATATGTACAACCTGAACAACCATCCAGGGCATCCCTGTTCTTTTTTTTTTAATATTTTAAAATTTTTATTTATTTATTTGACAGAGAGAGACACAGCGAGAGAGGGAACACAAGCAGGGGGAGTGGGGGAGAGAGAAGCAGGCTCCCCGCTAAGCAGGGAGCCCGATGCGGGGCTCGATCCCAGGACCCTGGGATCATAACCTGAGCCAAAGGCAGACGCTTAACGACTGAGCCATCCAGGTGCCCCCCAGGGCATCCCTGTTCTTATGCTAGCACAGGATCAGGTGTTGAGGATCCCTTCCTGAAATGATTACCAAAAACTGTATGGTCATGAATAAGCCTCTTTTGAGTACTAGAGACAACTTAAATGTGGAGCAACTGGAACTCTCACCCACTGCTAGCGGGAATGTAAAGTGGTATGACCACCCTAGTGACAGTAGCTACTAAAGTCCGGCATATATGTCCACTCTGGGAGAACATACGTACCCGTGTGCACCAGAAAACGTGGACAAAATTGTCTATGTCAGTACTGGTAATGGTAAAAACAGGAAACAACCCAAGTCTCCATCAAGAGCAGAATGCGTAGATTGTGACATGTTTACACAGTAGATTATCACCCAGCAACGAAAATGAATGAACTACGACCACAGCCTCAACGTGGATGTCTCACAAATAAGGCTGAGTGGAAGAAGCAAGACCCATCTGAACACAAGCCCTGTGATTCCAGCCAGATAAAGTTCAAAACTAGGCAAAACACAGCTCTGCTGTTCGGGGAGGCACAAAGCGATGGTAAAACTGAGGAAAAGAAAGAGAAGATCATAAAAGTCAGGGAGATGCAGCCTCTGGGCGGAAGAGAAGGGACACACGGGGTGGAGGAGTGCTGGAATGTTCTGTTTCTTGACCTGAGTGCTGGTGTGCAGGTGCAACTCTCTGAGCCTGTTTTTACCTGTATCACTTCTCTGCACCTGCGTTATTGCTCGCGAGGGTGAAGGTTGGACAAAGTGCACAGGAGGACAACAGAGGCCCATTCACGTACCACGCGGTGCAGGTACTTGTGGTCATAGGCGCCGATGGGCTTCCCGTCCAGCAGCACGCAGCCCCCCTCCAGGGGGTAGAAGTTCTCCAGGATGTTGACGCAGGAACTCTTCCCACTGCCCGAGGGTCCCACAAGTGCGGTCACCTTTCCTGGGGACAGGCTGAAGGAGACATTCTGCAAGAAACAGGCGGACTCCGTGTGGGGCCACTGGCTCAGATGCTCTGGCCTCGGACACTGGCGGGCACCCTTCCCAGCCCACCCATGCTCCCTTGCCATGGTTGGGCACTTCCAGTCCCTGGAATGCTCTCCTTTCTAGGATTTGGCAGGACTTGGATGCTCATTTCCACGGCCTGGGTGCCTCCTCTCCTTGTTCAGGACCCAGCTCCAAAGTCCTCTCCTCTGAGAAGCCCTCCTTGACTGTTAACACCACCCCTATGAGCTACCCCTATCACACCACCTTGATTTACTGCCTTCCTAGCACTTAGTATCTGGAATGCTCTGTTAATGATCTGCCTTCCCTGACTCCAGCCAAACTCCATGAGGACAAGGACTCCGCCTCACGTGATCCTGGCTACACTGTGAGGGAAGGGATGATGTGGGCGGGCCTAGGGGACCCCTCTTACCTGTAGGACTTGGGTGTGGGGCCGAGTGCGGTAGGTGAAGGTCACGTTCTCAAAGTCCACCCGGCCCTCCAGGCGGTCAGGGGCCAAGTTCCCATCATGCACCATGGTTGGCTGCCGGTCAATGAACTCAAACACCTTCTCAGCGGCCCCCACTCCCTGCATCAGGCCGCTATAGACGGAGCCCACGGACTGCGGGGGGAGGAGACACAAGTTCTTGGCCCAGTGACACCCCAGTGCTGGGACCCCCATGGTGGCCAGAGAGATGAAGGGGGTGCAGAGAGAGCAGGGACACAGCAACCGTTCTGGGGGGGTGCAGGACACTGCCGGGGCCCCCCAGTAGTAAAGCAGATAATGACAACACTGACGAAAGGAGAGCAGCAAGGGGTGCCTGGGGGGGCTCAGTCCGTTAAGCATCTGCTTTCAGCTCAGGTCATGGTCCCAGGGTCCTGGGATCGAGCCCCGCATCGGGCTCCCTGCTCTGCAGGAAGCCTGCTTCTCCCTCTCCCACTCCCCCTGCTTGTGTTCCCTCTCTCGCCGTGTCTCTCTCTGTCAAATAAATAAATAAAATCTTTAAAAAAACCCCAACAACAATACTGAGCCATTCGTGGGAACACATTAGGAGCCCAGCGCCTCGTGGTCAGTATAGCTAAAGCTCACCACCATCCTGCCCGGTGGGTGTTACCACCCCCCAGCGGAGGAAACGGAAGGGCAGGGTAGTTAAATGAACCAGCCAGAATGTGGCAGAACAGGAATTCTGAACGGAATTCCTCTCTCGGCTGCCACAGCATTTTTAAATTTCGGTTTTAAAAATGGCCCTTGGGGCGCCTGGGTGGCTCAGTCGTTAAGCGTCTGCCTTCGGCTCAGGTCATGATCCCAGGGTCCTGGGATCGAGCCCCGCATCGGGCTC